ATCGTTATCAACTTGTAGAGCATTAAAAAACGCTTCGATTGACCTACTTTTGAACCTAATTCGATAGTAAATTTCGAAATTATTGGTATTTTAAAAACCAAAAATTGTGAAAAATGACATTTTCTCAACTTTTTTGTTTGAAAATTTTTATTTAACTATTAAATTATTGTAACTATCTTGTAGGGTATTTAAAAATACATTTATTGACTCAAAATTCAATCACTTTTACCATATTTATAAAAAGTTGAAAGGAATTAATTGCCTAATGTAAGGGGTTAGACAAATCATTCGCCTGAATATTGATAAATTCTGGGTCCGTTTTGTTTCGGGTAAATTCGTGTAATTCGTTGGTGGATTCGGAGAAGAGGTTTGATTCTGGGGATGAATTCTATGAGTTCATAAAACCGCGTTTCCTCTGATTTTCTGCCTCATTCGCTTGTATCATTTTAAGAGGGACATTTTCCGCGCCATACCTGAGTGTCCGACGCCGTAGACCTCAAGTGTGGCGTTATGTATCAATGGGCGGAAAATTCGAATTTGCTTTCGTGAGACTGAGGAGGCAAGAAAATCGGAGGGACAATTTCGTTTGAAGAAGTGGCTTCTCTTCATTGTTAATCTGTAATCCGGCAATATGGAATGATAAGGAGGAAAACAAAAGAAACCTCGTGAAATTATAATTCACCAAACCACGCCGTTCTCTGAGTCCACGCCGCAACGTAGATTTCCCTAGTCAAAGGAACAAGCGATGAGTATTCTCAAAAATTATTTGTTATTTTACTTTTATTGAATTTGAGCAGTTTAACTGCATTTGTTTGTTATATTTTATATTATCATTTTTCGTATTCGTATTTTAAGTTATGACTGTATGTGAATGTATGTATGTATGTGTGACGGAAATGAAAGATTTTTGTAAAATATTATATTGACTCGAGTCATAATTAATGAACTTTATTTAAATATATATTGATTGTGTTTTATATTGAATTTGTTTTATGTTATATTTTATATCCTTTTAATTGAATGAATTTGTTTTTATGGCGATTTTTATTAATTGTTGTTTAATTTTTGTATTAATTGTCTTTTCCCATTTATTTACTTTATATTTTGTTGTTTTCATAATTATATTTATTTGTGTGACGAAAATTCGTTACAAAGTTATTCATATATTTCTATTATTTTTATTTCCATGAGGAAGTAAAGTGTTTATGAAATGAGCACCAAAATTATAAAAAAAAATATACAACTTGGCAGCGGTTTTTTAAGGTTATATTGACAAATATGTTCTTCACACATTTTTTTGTACTTTAAAATATTTTAAATTATTACGATTCAGTCATTTTAATTTGACTTGAACATAATTTTTCTTAAAAAATATAAAATTTTATGTTTAATACTTCTTAACAATTAATATATATTTAATAATAACATGTACTTACGGAAACTGGCGAAAATAAATGTCTTTTACAATTTTCACTAGAATTCTTCTTCACATACCCTGATGTTGTACATATCCCTTCACAAAACAACTCATTTTTATTATCACTTTTTTTTACATATTTCACCCACGAAAAATTAACCGGCTTATAAAAACGTGCTAAATAGAAACGTGATCATGACAAACGTATATTTCAAAACAACAAACAACAGAAACTATACACCACGTGATCTGTAGTATGTCGCTTTCCCGCTAGGATCGCTAGTATCTTTAGATTATATTAGGTTTGTTCTCGCTAACTACACCGCTACACTCGAGTGTAGCAAGAGTGTGAAACGGAGCATGCGCACTTAAACAAAGTACAAAATCTATCGAGAACGCAAAAGTGTAGAGAAAGTGCACGAAAAAATGAAAAAAAGATTAATTGTAAACTGCATACAATCTGTAATTCAAAACAAACCACCTTATAAACAATTGCCATTGTGAAACAATTTTTTAAATAATAATTATTTCTCTCATTTATTAAAGCCATAATTTATTTACTATTAGTGATTTTAAAAGTAAAATTTCTCAGTTTTATGATATGGTAAAATTTTTTTTTTAAATAATAGGATTTATTCCTATTATTCCCTGTAAACATTATAATGGGCAATTCATGAAAATTTGAGACATTAATTAAATTTTACAAGAATTTCGAAGATTAAATGTATGTACCGAGCCGAATTTATTTTTTAAAATTTTTACACAGTTTAAAGTCTGACATCTTTGTAAGATTTAATTAATTTCTTAATTTCAACCGAATTGCTCATTATAATGTTTACAGAGAATAAAACTTGAATTTTTGAGCTATATTTTCATATAAGTTTCAAGAAAAACGGAAGCGACATGTTTTAAAATATTCTAAAGGTTATCTTTCAAACTTTATTTTTTTCATAAATTCTATTATTTTTAAAAAAATATGTTTACCATCATAAAATTGAGAAATTATTTTTTAAATTCACTATAAATAAAGTTTGGTTTTAATAAATGGGAGAATAATTATTTAAAAATTGCTTTACAATGGCAGTTGTTTATTAGGTGGTACTTTATATAAATATTAACAAAATAAGGATTGCTTACTAATAATTTCATAAATTAAAAGTCACTAAGAAATATATTATAACTTTATGTTCATAAAATAATTAATGCATTTTAAATAAAATGTCCATTTACCGCCATTTTAATAAGAACACTCAAAAATACTCGCTCGCAATCGGGTGTAATAAAATAGGGAAAAGTGCAGAGGCTTCTAGGGAGTTAGGTGTACACTATTGCGTCACTTCTGGTAACGAGAACGCCGTAGTGTACACTTTTGTACAAAGTGTAGAAAGTGTAGCTAGCGAGAACAAACCTATTGGGGGCAGAATTTTCTGAAACGACCTGTAGAGTGAGTGCTCCTTATACTACATACTTCGTGGATTTACCTTTGTGTTAGAAAGGTTAGAAATTTGTATAGAGAAGGCGGACGGAAACTAAGACAATGTCGAGTTACACCGCCCCGGTTCTGGGACAGCTAAATAAGTTAGGAAATTAATGTTTTCATTGCCTATAATTAATTATATATATAATTTAATACCTAATTTATCGATAAATATACTTTTAAATCAATTTTAACTTAAATGATCGAAATGTGCCGAAATACTTCTCAGCTGTTCGCTTGTGTATAGTCACTATTTTCTCTCACGAGAAGGCATTCAACAGCACTATAGGACTTTTTTATTTTATTTATCTAGAATTTTACGTTCAAATTATAATTATAATTGTGCAAAGAGAGCATTAGATATTATAGATTCTAGTAAAAGTGGTCAAATTTACTTCCTTTAATATAATCGAAATTATAAAAAAGTGGACGGAAACCGGTGCAACCACGGTAGACCTGTGGGCACAGGTAAAAATTTGACGTTTTCAGTCTTAAAACCGCTTATTTACGAAAAATTATAATATTAGATACAAAAGTAATTATTGGTTTTTGTTTCTAAACATATAAATAACCTTTTTACGTTGGAATTGTAAAAATATATGAAAATTATTTATTATTTTTCCATTGCAACATGAAAAAAATCAAGTTCTGCGCTACGCGGAGAATCACCCATATACTACACTTGAAAACTAAAAATAGTTGATTCTAAGAAATTCGAAAATCGACATCACTATAAAGCTTCCTTTAAGAGGAAGCAAAAGGAACAATTTACCTTCTTATACATTTTTTTTAAAAGTTACGGATTATGAGTTATCAATAACTGACAAAATGGGTAATTTTTTAAACAAATGGACATATTTTTGTTAAAAATTGTAATACCAAAATTTTTAAAAATGCGTTTTAAAGATGATGAAATTAGCTTTCAAATTCTATACTTACAATTAAAATGTGATGATTTTCTAAAAAATTTAATTTTATATATTGGATAACAAATAATGGTTAATTAAAACTTATATTGGCTTACCGTAAAAAATTTAACAAAAAAGATTTTAAATTTGCAAAGTCTGTTATAGGTGGCTCAGTTGAGAAGTTTTCACTTTTTTTTTTAAATAAAAAAACGTTTTTAGAGTCATTGAATTATATTTCGACCAAAGTCGTTGCTGACTAATTTTTAAAAGTTGTAATACTTTGTAGGAATATTATTTAAGGTCTTAAGATGACGAATTGAAAAGAATTTTATTAAAATTCTTGTTATTTATTGCAAAATACGTTTTTTTGCCAATAGAAAGTATTTAAACAAACATACAATTTACTGGAAAATTGTAAAAAAACTTATTGCAATTTGTAAAGGATGACTAGATTGAGTATTATAAATTGATAAAAGTATTAAATGATATGAAATAATAAATAAAATATGAATTCAAAGTTTACCTGCAAAATAACCTAATTGTGCTATTTCCATTTATTAATTATGAGAAAATGGAATCATCAATTCAAATAAATACTTACGAAATGTAGAGTCCTTGCGATGATCTTTTAGATTTTCTTTATACTTTTGTTTTTATTTCTTGGTAAACGTAATAAACTTTAAAAATAAAATTCTTGTTTCAACAAATTTTGCGATACTTAAATAATAATAACTTCTTTACAGAAAAAAGAATATGAGCTTTTGGGGATATTTTAATAATCACTGATTAAACACACGCTGAAATTTTCACTTTGGTCCCAAATCTAGTTTCTCCAATAAAAATATTTTTAAATTAGTACTCAAAGAAAATCTAAAAGATCATCGCAAATACTCTATCTTATTTAAAACTTATAGAAACCTTATCTGACATCTATTAGGGTACAATGGGTTTCTATTAATCCTATTAGGCATTTTTACTAGGGCTATAATTTATAAAATGAATTGTTTACGAAAGTGTCACTTTTTATAATTGAGGCTCCGGATCTTAAAAGGGCACATATACCATTTAAAATCAATGCTGCATGTGCCCTCTTAACTTTTAAGATCTGGAGCTCAATTATTGTTCTTAATTCTATACTATAACTTTACTTAAAATATTGTATTGTCATATAATATTTGTATCTGTAATTATTTTATAGTTTCTTCTTGGAGAGCAGGCATATCCAATATTACAAAATAAACAACAAAGCAATAAAATTATTAACCAGAGTAATCACATGCATGATAATGGTCAATTAAAAGAAGACGAGGATTTTGAAGGTGCAAAAGTTATATAACATTTAATAAAAACAATGGATCCTCCTGTAGTGGAGGAGGGGAGTTTGCCTGACAGAATTAACAAACGGGATCGAGAGCGTAAGATTATAATAGAAAAAAGGCGCGAGGAAAGGCAACAATTAGCTGTAGAGTCTGAACAGTCTAGTTACTTTAATGACACCTTTTATTCTTCTTGTAGTAAAATTAAAGAATTACTAGATAGCACATCTGGCATTTCTCCAGTCGCTCTTGCTGCTATTTTTGATAAAATTAACAAAGAGATCTTAACATTGAAGAATTATTTGCATCAATCGAAAATGTTTCTTAAAGTTTATGACATTAGAAAGGCTCAGGAAAATCTTCAAATATTGGAAAATGACGCATTGGAATTGGAAACAAAGCTTCTACCGAAGAAGAAGTTTGGATTTAAAAATCGAAGAGTTATTAAAAAACCATCAGATGGTAAAAATGATGTCACTGATGGACTGAAGGTAAATTTATAACAATATATTTGAATAACTCGATAAACTTAAACAAAATGTTATTAATAAAATATTTATCACCTATTTATAAAATGTATTCTGAAATTAAAAATAATCGCTTATATGTTTTTCTTGTTAAAGGATCTCCAAATAACGGAAAGTATAGTAAACGGTTCTGGAAACTCAAAAAAGAAGCTGTCCAGTAAGTACGGGGACAGCGCTTCCATGTTACAAGGGAAAATTGATGAGTCATTGACTCTCGACGCTGAAAACGTAAATAAAAACGATGTTCTTCTCACGGACTTAACCCGCTGCACAGTACGAATATATGGTGCACCGAGTACTCTCCACATGGTTAATTTAAGGCAATGTACTATCCTAGTCGGTCCTGTTTCATCCTCGGTTTTCGCTCAGGATTGCAAAGATTGTAATTTCGCCTTCGCTTGTCAGCAACTTAGACTCCATTCTTCAACAGACTGTTCGGTATACTTACATGTGACGAGCAGAGCAATTATAGAAGACTGTTCCCAAATTCGTGTAGCGCCCTACAACTGGTCCTATGAAGATCAGATGAGTCACTTCAACCTAGCCGGTCTTGATCCCAAGATCAACAACTGGAACTGTGTTGATGACTTCAATTGGCTTTCGAGTGAGAAGAACTCTCCAAACTGGTCTATCCTTGAACCAGAATCTTGGGTCAAAAGCTGGAACTGACGAAAAAATGTAAAAAGTCTGTAAAGATTGTTTATTTATCAAATTGGATTGTTTAACTGGTCCAGAGCTGTGAATGTGAAAAATTGTAATGCATCATTTTTTCTACTCATATTTGTATTTCAGAGATTTTTGTCAAGGTAGTAAATTATATGTAGCTTTTTATCTAATGTTATAGTTCATCACTCGTTCATGTTCGCCAATGAATCTCATAAATCTTCAATTTTTGAGAAATGATAATTTTACATTTCATATACATAAATTAGACGGATTTTCTTTCAATAAAGATTATTCACTTTCAAAAATAATATTATCATTTAAAATATTTCATTAATCGCAATTTTCATAGTGAATCAAAGTGTCGAGAGTAAAATTAAAATGAGTACGTTTAGAAAATTAAGAAACACATTCCGTCTTTATGTAAGCCGCATGTTTCTTACTTCGCGAATCCGCTTTTTGTGTGGATGCTTAAAAAGACATAAAAATTTTTCACATTTGCCCCTCTACATTTTTTCATCAATTTAAAATGCACATGTTAACAGAATTGGTCTCATAAAAATTATTTGTACATACATATTAAAAGAGTACTTTTTTGTTTAAATAAACCTGACAAATGTTTATCGTACTTTCATACAGATTTTTTTAATATAATTACACTATTGTACTATCAATTCATGGTTAATATGATAGAATTGAATACAAATAAATTTGATTACATTTTATAGAATTTCGAATGTCGTCAAAAAAATTGTTTTGTTGATCTAAATTTGAGCTTTATACAAAAATTATTAAAACTGTTTTTATATAGAATCTTTTAAAAAACGTACATTTAATTGTTATTTATTTTCGTTGATATTCTTTTTCTAATAACTAGATACAAATTACTCTGTGAATAAACGATTGGCACTATTTTTTGCTGATAATAAAAAATGTAATATATTGATAATGTTATTGCATTTTTCAATCACTTGCCTCTTATCTCTTTCAGAGGAAAATGTTAACGAGGAGTTAATTATGTTTAACCCTATTAAAAAAATGTCATACTGAGATGCTATTTCCCATGATGTTAGGAGAAAGAATATGTAGTAAAAATACGGAAGAAACTAATTTTTTTATATTTTTGAAGAAACAAAATACATCGATTTATAAGATAAAAAAACATTATTATATATGCAAGATAAACATTTATTCTATACTAAAACATCATATCCTACAAGAGAAACTCTATTTAATTATTTTTTTATATTTTTCCTACTTATCGTTCTTCTTGAGACCTTTTTACTTGGTGGTTGTGAGGAAAATAGACAGTCAGATTTTTAAATATAAAAATGTCGGATTCTATAAAACGGTCATATTTTTTTAAAATTCAACAGATTCGCTTGAAATTAGATAGAATATGGCTACCGTAATTTAAATCTCATTGCCCATCATATTGGTCCGTCATTTTGAATTGTTTGAATCTGACATCGGATTCGTAATCAACGACCCGAAAAACCCCTGAGTAATAAATTTCAAGCAAATTCGTTGAATTTTAAAAAAACATAGTCCGTCATATTTGATCCGACATTTTTAATTTTTAAAATCTGACTCCGCATTTGTAACCAGCGACCGCAAAAAACTCCCGAGTAACACACTCACTATTCACATTTTTAATTTGATTAATTTTACTTATCAATATATTAAATAAAAAAAATATATTTTCAGTCAAAATTTTGAAACTTCGTAACTCAAAAAATATTTTATCAAATTCAATAATAACTCATATTTACACTTATTCTACTAATAATAGTAACATTTTGGCAAAGTTTCGAGAAAATTCATTTTTTGACCTGGACAGTTGAGGAATTTTGCCCCATATATTGCAAAATTAACTGATTAAACGAACTGACTTGTAAGTGAAGTTCTATTAGAATTGTATTTCGCGCCTCCTCCTCTAGATCAACATGTAGATGTTTAAAGATGAATATGACAGGAATAAGAAAGAATTTAACTCTTTATTTATTTGTTATAAGATATAATGAACAAAAATAAAATTCTAATCTTTGCTGAAAAGGGAATTTCCAAATGAATCTTTTCTAGGAATTAGCCACTTATCATAAAATTTTGCGAACGTATACGACTTTTTCGTCCACCCTGCTGTCTTCTTGATCAAATCTACTGATACACCATTCCGTTTGAGTGCTGACGTCGCTGCATGACGGGTGCTATAGACATCATATTCTCGAAATATACTCTAGTCTCCTTTAGAACTCTCCTAATCCATCGACTAAGAGTTTGACCTTTTTGAACATAATATTAATAATGACAATGACCAATCCCTAAATGTTTACTTTATTTATTTACATAAAAAAATTATGACATCCTAGATGCTTCAAAATTGTATAAGAATATTTACTTAACAAATCAAAATTTGTAATAATAGTCAATTTTTTCAAAACTCAAAATGTCGGATGCAATATGGCGGCCCAGGGTGTCTAACGGTCAGGGAAAAGTCAGGGAATGGCAGAAAATTTCATTGAAAGTCAGGGAAATTTCCAAAAATTTATACAAAATTTAAAATTTTTTGTGACCAAATTTTTTTTTTTAATTTAACAAAACTTAGAAGATTTTTATTGTCGTTTCTTTCTATCATTAGATATTAATTTATTGTTAAATATGTCAGTAAACATATTTTTGTCCCAAGAAAGCAAAAGTAAAATTAGTAAAAAGTCAAGGGAAAAGTCAGGGAATTTTCTTCTCAATCCTTGTTAGACGCTCTGCGGACTATTTTTTAAAAAATTTAACGGATTTGATTGAAATTTGTTACTAGAAGGTTCTTTAAGTCACTGATTAGGGAGCGTTCACAAATTACGTATAACGCTAATTTTTGAAAATTTTGACCTCCCCTCCCCCCATGTAATACACTGTTACATACATTAGCGCCATTTTTTCTGCTGTACATAACAAATAGCTAGACCCCCCCTCTCCCCTTTATAATGTTACGTAATTTGTGAACGCTCCCTTACAGACATGGTTTTAAATTTTCAAAATAAATTCAATATGTTGGCCGATTTTTTAAAAAGTCAACAAATTTGCTGGAAATTAGTTACTGGAGGGTTTTTGGGGTAGAATATGACGAATCTGGTGTTAATTTTTTATAATAAATATATGTGTCAAAGGGTAGTTGCATGAATTAAGGGGTTTTTTTTAACCCATTAAGGACCAGACGGACGAAAAATTTCAATTGACTTTGAGAACCTTGTTTTTTATTAAAATGCATATAAAAAAAATTAGCACATACCATTTTTAATGTAAAATTTACTTCTATTTTAAATGCTGCTGTTAAAATTTGTTTATACGAAATTGTTAAAAAGTTATAAAGAATTTTTTCCAAAAAAACACGATTTTTCCAGAAAAAAATTTCATTTCAGACGTATTTTCACCGGAAAAAAGCAGGTAGATACTCTCAAAAACTCAAAATATCGCGTCCATGGACCCTCAGCTACGAAACCCTGAAGTGGACAATTTTTTTTTCAAAATGGCTGACGCCAATATGGCGGCTAAAACTAAAAAATGGCTTACATATGACACATAGTGCTCCAACTTTTTCAAGTCACTGAAATCGCCTGAAACTCGTTACTCGGGGGTTCTTGGAGTCGCTGTTTACGAATATGATGCTAGTTTTCAAAAATTCAAAATGTCGGACAATTTTTGTAAAAATTTATTGGATTCACTTGAAACTCGCTACTCGGGGGTTTTTGGGGTCGCTGATTACGAATATGGTATGAGTTTTCAAAAACTTAAAATGGCGGATCCAATATGACGGACGAGTTTTGTGAAAATTAATTCAATTCACCTGAAACTCTCTACTCGGGGGTTTTTTGATTACGAATATTATGTCAGTTTTCGAAAATTTAAATTGGCGGATCCTATATGGCGGGCGCAAATTTAAAAACTCTTCGAATTTGCTCAAAACTCTTTACTCGGGGGTTTTCGGTGTTCCAATTAACCTAAAACTTTTTTCTTGTGGGTTTTCAAGGTCGCTGATAACGAATCTTAAGTCAGTTTTTTAAACTTTAAGATGGCGGATCCAATATGGCGATTAATTTTTAAAAACTTATCTAATTACCCTGAAACTTCTTACTTGGGGGTTTTCAGGGTCGCTAATTGTGAATTTGACGTCATTTTAAAAAAATTTGAAATGGCGGATCCAATATGGCGGACGATAAATTTTAATGTCGTCTATTTCACTTGAAACTCGTCACTCCGGAGTTTTCGGCGTCGCTGATTACGAATATAATGTCAGTTTCCAAATCAGCGACCTCGACAACCCCCAAGTAAGAAGTTTCAGGGTAATAAGATTATTTATAAAAGTTATCCGCGATATTGGATCCGCCATCTTGAATTTTAAAAAACTGACATAAGATTTGTAATCAGGGATCTTGAAAACCCAGAAGTAAACAATTTTAGGTCAATCGGGATAATTATTAAAAAATTCTGCCATATTGGAACTGTTATTTTAAATTTTAAAGAACTAACACCGAATTTGTAATCTGTGACCCCAAAAACCCTTGAGTGATGAGTTTTTATCAAATTCGACATTTTAACCCTTAAAGCGCACACTTACGAATCCATCCTTGAACCGCACACTGTGTGTGCGACACCCGGGGACTTTACAGTGTGTTCTCCAAGCTGGAATAGGATATTATCTTTTATAAGAATTATCTTATGTAGCTCAGTACATCTATTTTGAAGAAAAATAGGTTTCATAATGATTTATTTAATCTTAATAACTACAAAAAAAACTTAAACTACTGAAATTACCTTAACCTTTGAAGCACGAATTTTTAGAGCAGATGAATTTAATTTACAACAGCAGTTATTTGGGTTTTTAGGGTCGCTGATTACGAATCTGATGTTAGTTTTTAAAAATTCAAAATGGCGGATCCAATATGGCGGCTGTCAAAATAAAAAATTGATCGGATTCGCTCGAAAATTGTTAGTCGGAAGTTTTCGGGGTCGCTGATAATAAATCTGCTATTAGTTTTCCAAAATTCAAAATGGCGGACGACATTTTCAAAAATTCATTTGAAACTTGTTACTAGAGGGTTTTCGCTGATTACGAAAAACTTTTTATACGATAATAAATACAAAATTTTAACCCCGCAGTCAGCTGGTAAGTATACTACGTTACTTACGACCCAGAGTTTACCGCCACATGCAGGTATGCGGTCGGATTTTACACTCCTTTATTTATTTTGTTTTTTTTATATTTTTTTGTTTGCTTTTATATTGGATCCGCTGTTTTCAAACCCGATATTACATTTTTAATCTACGACATCAATAACGACATCAAGAAAATTACTAGCTCTTATATTGGATCCGCCATTTTTAAAACCAATATTACATTTTTAATCTACGACATCAATTTATCCCAAGTAACAAGTTTTAAGTAAATCTGATAAACTTTTTTAAATGACGCCCGCCATATTCGAACCGCCACATTGTATTTTAAAAATCTGATGCTATATTCGTAATCAGCGACCCTGAAAACCCCCGAGTAAAAAGTTTCAAGTGAATCCGATGAATTTTAGAAAATGTCGTCCGCCATTTTGGATCTGCCATTTTGAATTTTTAAAATCTGATAACGGATTCGTAATCAGCGACCGCGAAAACCACCGAGTAACAAGTTTCAAGCGAATCCGATCAATTGTTTATTTTGACAGCCGCCACATTGGATCCGACATTTTGAATTTTAGAAAACTAATAACAGATTCATAATCAGCAACCCCAAAAACCCCCGTGTAACAAGTTTCAAGCGAATCCGATCAATTTTTCATTTTGACAGCCGCCATATTGGATCCGTCATTTTGAATTTTTAAAAACTAATAGCGGATTCGTAATCAGCGACCCCAAAAACCCCTGAGTAACCATTTAAAGCCAATCTAGTCAATTTTTAATTTTGAC